ATAAGTTTTAATATAGAAGTTTCTGCCTTTCAGAATTTATAGGATGGGGATTATCAAAATATTCTTGCTGGGAGAATGGAAGGAGTAGGAGTGAGTTCTTAAAGCACATTTTGGCAGAGTTGGGAGTAAATTGCAGCATGGGAGTCACAGTAGAACAACTGCTGGGCATCATAAAATAATAGTGGGGAGAAAAGAGTGAATAATTTCCTATAAAAAGACATGTGTATAAAACATAAAAGAAAACTATACCAAAGCATATATAAATATCAGTTGGGCATGACTACAATGCAGTAAATATCTACACTCTCTTCATTATAAGAAAAATGAAAAATAGGATACCATAGAAAAAATTTAAGCAGGATTTAAATTATAGTTGATAGAGTAATATTTGTAAAGTAATACATGAATTTAAATATAACAAATCAAATAAATAAATCCCAAATCATAAAAGCTATTGAAAATAGGAATTATATTTATAAATGAATAAATGTGTTAGTTGAAAAAACGTGATTTTCCTCAGAGAAATCACTGAATGATTACATTATTCCAAATGTTTATAGTCTGAAAAAAATCAATTTTTACAATGTGGCAGTACATTAATAAAAATCATATTTTTCATGTACCAAACTGTTATATTAGAAAATTTAAATAGAATTCAAAAAGCATTTGGAATCAAATTTTGTTTTTAAATTGTGTATGATCCATGATTATTTAATTTAGAATAAATGCAATATCCTTTTGTTGCAATATTATTAAATCAGTAAAAAAAATCCATCACTTTACAGGGCCTGTCCCTGTATTACAATATGCACATAAATAATCATTCTTTTACTTCCTTCAGATATTTTCTTCAGATTGGTATATATGCGGCTTCCTGCCAGTATCTAATAACTCTAATACAAGAATAGGAGAGAAGTCACTTTGTTCATGGTGTAGTTTTTGTTTTCATTTAAGAAATTCGTATTATTAAATTTGTGCTTAAATGTTATGAAATAGATTCCCAAGGAGAAAGATCTTGACCAGAGTGTTAAAGATCTCCAATGTTAGTACTTTTGTCCCCATTTCAAGGCAAGACTGATGTATGAGAGAACAAAATATCAGAGAAGAAATCTTACATTCCTCAAGGGATCCTCTGCCAAGTTCATAGGGCATCAAAATTCTCCTGAGCCCCAAATCTGCTGAGAATGGGTCTTTATACACACATGCCTAAGTTTTTCTGTGAATACAGATATAAATATGCTATCTCTAATTTGAAAACATTTCCAGAATCTGACATTCTCTCATTACCAACCTAGTCCAAGCTCCCCTCATCTATCTCTTCTCCAGCTAGATTCCTTGCTCGGTCCCGTTGGTATTCACAACCCAGGGGCCAATGTTAGCCCTTTAAGACATAAATCAGATCATGTCACTCTACTGCTCCAAAACCTATAATGGCTCCCATCTCACTCAGAGAAAAAGGTAGTCTTTACAATGGCCCACCAGGCCCTTTACAATCTGGACCCTCACAATGCCTATGACTTTATTCCCTAGTACCCTCTCCCTGGCACATTCTATTTCAGCCACTCTGGTCTCTTTGCTGCTCTTTGATCAAGATAGGCTCACTCCCACATTTGGGCCTTTCCTCTATTTCTTATACCCACAGAGCAAGGCTGATAACCAAGGCTGACTCCTTTACCTTCCAATCTTTGCTCAAATGTTCTTTCTACCCTATGTAAAATTGTAGTCCCACCTTTTGTTATTCCACCTATGCCAACCCCTTTAGTTGTTCTATACCTCATTACCAGACTCTATTCTCTTTTTATTATATGTATCACCATGATTGTTTGCTTGCTTATATTTTGTCTTCCATTGCTCTAATAAAAGCTGTATGAGGGCAGGATCCACTTTTTTTTCTGTTTTATAAGCACTTAGAACACTCCCTGGTAGATAGTAAGAACTGAATAAATATTTTTGGAATAAATTTGGAATGAATGAATCCTCACTGCTTAGGTTATTGCTTGTCATAACAACTTATTTTAGGTCTCAAGAGCCATGCATAAAATATGAACCAATCAAAGAAGAATTGAACAACTTTGTTTCATAACATTTTTGGCTTTTTAAGCTCACTACCAGCCCTTCCTTGTGTTGTTGAGGTTAAACAAGGGCTACCTTTATTTTTTTTAATCCATTTAAATTCTACATTAGGAACAATTCTCCTGCCAACACACCTGTGAGCTTTTTTCAAATTTCCACACTTATGTCCATCCTCTTGGTTACCAAAAATACAGCATGTTTTATCCAGCTCAAACAGTGCATCCACCAAAAGTCATATGTTATTGGTTGAGGTTTGCTGGGGAGGGTGGGGATACAGAGCTTTTAACTCCCTGCAACTTGTGGGCTTGGATGACTTGAGAGAGCCCTAAGGCAGTCACAGACACTTGGAATTGGCAGCTGCCAGTCAGAGTGCAGGGAATGCTGAGTGAGGTAAGGATATAGGTGAGGTCCCAAGAATTCTCATACTCCAGTGAAACTGAGGCTTTCAGTAAAATTAGGTATGTGGAGGGATTAGGATAAATCCTTTCAGTTGTGCCTCTTAAAAGGATAATTTCTGCTTTAATGACAAGATTTCATATATTTAATATTCTCAAAGGCAACGCTTTCTGTAACTTAAAACTTGTGATGCTAAGATTTCCTATATTCATGCATTTATATGAGATATTTTAAAGCAAGATTTGATGATTTAACACAGTTAATTATATTTTGGCAAAATTATTGAGACAATTTTTTCTTAAAAATAAAGTGAGAATTTTTCCTAATATTGTTTGAAACTTTCAAAAAAAGTAATTCTTTCAAAATTATATTATTGCCTATGTAATTAATATTTTAAACTTTTTACATATAAGCAATCACAATTAATCAACAATGCCAATATTGACTCTGAAATGAGAATAAATATTACTAATGTGTATATTTCTCATTCATCTCTAGTTATGCTTAGTTAATATATTAGCTACTAAATGCAGATTTCCATATGTAAGCAAGTGTTTATCTGCACAGTCCCTGTCAAAATGATTGGGTAGCTTTCCAACTTGTCTATTGAAACCATATGTGCCATTTTCGTTATATTTTTCTCAGAAAGTAAATATTTTAAAGTATTATACCTTATTTGTGTTGTATTGTACTTTTAAGAAACATGTATATTAAACTGAAGCAATATCTACTATAGTTCTGTAATTTGATTCATGAAAATCTGTCAGGAATAAAATCAACCACAATTTAATTTCAAACCTTCCCAACCAGCAGCTGTACAATTTATTCACTGCTTTTCTATTTTTACTACTAGATAATGACAATGATGAATGCCTTTAAGAGGAAATACATATTCATTGAAAAGTCTGAGCTCAAAACTATCCCCCTTCAAAAAGTCCACAAAGGTAGGAAGCCCATTTGCCTGCTGCCAGAGATTTTGGGGGATAGATATGAAATTATGCCCACAACTACATCTCATGGGGATTCAATAATCTAACTAAATTAAACCTGCAATAACACCTTCTTACAAACCACAGTAATCAATACTGTTATAATTGGTGTCAGCTAAAATAAGACTAAATATATCAGGATGAACAAATGATTAGCTATGAGTATAGCCAGGGGCCTCTCATTCTGGGTGTGCCAGGTTAAGAGCTATGGTGACAAAGATATTCAGTGGGCAACTTAATAAGTTCAGGGTCACTGCTCTCATGACCCAAATGTCCGTGAACATGGAAAGGAATGAATATTAGCTCATTAGCAATGATTTACATGTTGAATGACAATGATGAACTTACAAACTGTGCTGTCACAAGAAATCAGTTAATGTGAATAATGACAGGAATGCTGGCATGTCTCCTTTATCAATTGATTAAGTTTCTTTTCTTCACTGTACTCATAAGTGATTTGACTTTTACTTCGAGAGAGTAAGAAATAACACCTCACTGAAATGTATGGACTAGTTCCAGAGATCTATGTATATATTAGTTCATTTTAGTGTGTAATTTTATAGCTTATTTGATATAATGTAACACATTAAAGTCAAGTCACTCAAGATACTGCAACACCAATTTCCAAAACAAACAAATAGCTTTAGCTATTTGTATACTTATACAGGCAAATGTGTGATATGGAATGAGCTCCTAAGAAATCATTTAGAGTATAAAATACTTTAGCTAATATGTGCTGCTGATAGCAAACTCATCTTCTGTCTATAACCTATGCTGTTTGCATTTGAAAATATCAAGCTCTGGTTATGCTATAATATTTCATTCTGAGTATGAAATGTATGATCACAAAAATTATCTTGAGACACACATTATTATGTACGTTTTCTTGATGTTACACTCATTTATCTTTAGACACTGCCTTCTAAATTTCATAGCCTATTCCTTCATCATGATTTGTCTTAGTTCAGAATTCAGTAACTTGCTGTTGGAGGTTTGAAAAAAGCCCAATTTCATTGGTAGCCTTTGGCTGGCAGTTTTAAATGAAATATTTGATTGATTTCTGTTCATTTATATTCCATATAATTTCATATAGGTATTGACATTAATTCGAAATTGAATATGTATAAGTGGAAAATATAAAATTCAATGAATAATAGATAAAATTTTAAATCTCATTTAATTTCCCCTTTTTTGAGGAAAAGAAAGGAATGTAATGTATTGACTGGGAATAAACTATTCCTCTATCAAAACTTGTTTTTTTGGTGATTTCTTTCTGCCCTGAGTGTATATGAAAACTATTATTTTTGTGTATTCTTTTGTTTAGGAATTTTCTCAACACTAAATATTATAAAGTGCCTCTTCTAGTTTATATCTATATACCCCCAGATTTCTAAAGCCAATCATCCTACAAAGTATTTTTAAGAATTCCATGTGTAAGTCAAATGCTTTCACTAAGTGTACAATATAAGTCAACTCTTCAGGTGCTATAAGTGATCCATATGATCATCTTGTAAAATTTAAATGAAAGTGCTTTACTTTTACCTTCAGCGACTCCTCTTGTTTAAAAAGATCTTCAAAATCTTTAGCACAGAAGTCAGGAGCATTGAGAAGTTGTTCCACTTCTGATAGAGCTTGTGAGACATGAGTGATCTCAGTCAGATAAGTAGAAGGCACATAAGAAATTTCCAAAGGCATGTCTTCAGTCATTGCTACCATCGTTTCTTCACGAACAGTATGCTGGTATAGATATACAAAAGAACAATTCTTTTAGCTTCCTAATAATAAACCATCTTGTATTACATAGGTCCAAGTCTATAGCTGACAAAGGGCTGAAACTGTATTAAAAAATTTATGATGATAAATCTAGTAAAAAGGTTATTTATTATTTATATACAATCTCCTTCCAAAGAGTGTTAGAAGCATTTTATAATAGGTAATACATACACATTAACACAATGAATCTAAAATGAAAGACCAAGAGCCATGAGATCATGAGGAGGGTAGTTTTGCCCCAAGAAAAGGATAATTCTTACAACTAGCATTTAAATTTTAATTCTAAGCTTTCTGAAACTCTAGATATGGGATTGAGTGTGGGGTCCATATCTGTTTTATTTATAACAAAGGAACTTTCCTATAATTTTCCCCTTAATCTTGATTGAGGTACAAGAGGCACGAAATGGGTTTGGCTGGTATATACTTTCCTACTAAGCACTCCTCCATTCCAATTCCAGACATTAACAATTTCCTGTCTTTGATGCCAGTTTTTTACTAAGCTAAGCTACTAATTAAGGTGCTATATGAGTAGGGCTGACCGTGGAACTTTTATTTTAATAAGAACTCCAGAAAGTCCTGAGATATAAAGGAGTACCAGACTCTTTTCCTGAATCTACACTTTCCTAGCTGGGTTCCAAGTGCCAGGAATGATGAGAAATTGCAGCTTCAGAGTCCTTTTGGAGTTTCCGAGTAATGCCTCTTTCCCTATTCCTTATAAGAGCAAGAAATAAATACTACTTGGCACACATATTCAGAAAGATGGATGACCTCTGCTCTCTTCTGTCTATGCTATAGGCAGCAAAATCCTTGTAATTGAAATTATTCTCCCAGTAACTTTGTTTTGAATTGATCAACTGCCACCTGCCTGTTGATGGGGTCAGCTGAGGGTTTCAGTGGCAGGGTCTCTGGGGAAGTTTGGACAATAAGCATGCTAACACAACCATTTATTACTGCACAGCCTTTTATGACAAGACCATACTTATATTTGTAGTAATGTAATTAAATGGACTTTGGGATGCCAGAATGAATCTCACACAAAGATGAGTAAAAATTATAAGCTGGTCAGTTTATGTTTTTTTTTTATTATTTCTCTAGCCCAGGACTTTGTATACATAATTCTTAATGCTATAAAAATAAAATAATTCTAGTTTAGATGTGTCATCTACTTATGACATAAAAATGCATGAAATTGTACAAATTAGCTTTTAAATGACATAATTATACCTTTCACAACATTTGGTTTACTGTGTATATCTTGGCCAAACCCATGATACACATTCCTTCATGATCAATGGAAATGATAATGTATACACATTTCTCATTTACATTTAGATGATTTTCCTCATCAAATTTTAGTTAAGTTTGATGAAGAAAATTCAGCATTTAATCATAGATTTTAATACCCAAATTCATATTTTCTTCACTTCAAAGTAAACATTTCACCCACTTAAAAGAAAAATAAATCAGCAGGCTATTTGAATGTGAAATTTCCACTAACACATTAGGTTTAACACTAAGTAGCAGAGTCAACAGCTCAAGTCACACAAATTTATTGTGATTTGCATGCATTACATTAGACTGGTGACTATGTTGTTCTTAAAATTTACAATATGCTTATTTTGTTATTTACATCAGTTACTTTAACCCCTGCGATAAAGACAATGCTACGTTATATAAAACAAGAATATTTCTTATAACATTTTTATATAATGGTGCAATTACCTTTGTTTTTAGTGATATGCATTTTATATCTGTACGGATTTAGAAAATAGTGGCTTTTGTATTAGGGTCAGAATTGGGTAGAGGATAAATTGTAGTGTTTCTCTGTTATTTATTTTCATTTAATCAAGGGAGTTGTTTTATAATGAAACTCATCTTCAAAATATTCAGAAAACATTTGATTCTCATTAAAATAAAGTGTGGGTTCCCACAGGTTTTGATGTATGTCCTCATCATTTTTTCTTAAAAGAAAAATGATCCTAAGTTGTTCTTTATATCTTTTTTATGTTTCTTCTTTGACATGTAGTTTTCTTGATCTTCATTACTCCTATTTGAAATACTCTCAGCTATCTTAAATTCATATGAGTGCTTCATACATATAGTAATTATGGAGTATAGATAGCAAGGAACTTAACTGAATGGTCAAATAGCAAAAGACAAAAGGTGCTAATAATATATTTGATTTAATTTGATTTAACTTCCTGAAACAAAATTTAAAACCTAAAATTCTACTTCCTTGGCATTTCAGCTAATTATATTTTGTTTTGCATATAGAAAATTTAAATAAAGATGGGATTCACTTATATAGTAATTATTGCTGGCCACAGAGCTCTGAAGACTGGAATGCTGTGTCTCAGCAATAAGACGTAGCATCAGCTGCAGCCCTAAACCAGGGCTCTAAGAATGTAGGCACATGCTGTCCTCTGGCTTCTCATTTGTTAAGCTTTTCAGGTGATCATGTATGTGTCTGTCATAGACTTTTTATTACATACTAATTAATGTACTTAATTTCCTCATAATATTCATTAGCACATCACCTATATTTAAACAGAAATCTATTTTAGAAGAATGTTACATGGCATTTAATTTCCAAATTTTTCAAATAATTGACATTTTATATCTGGTTTTAGAAACCATTTAAAAAAATTTTTTTAATGGCGAAGCTCTTGTTAACCTGATTGTAATACCTTTCAAAGAAACATTAGCTGTTGTACCACAGGTAGGGAATGCTCTAACAGCATGTATATTGAAACTATTTTCAAGACTTTCAGAGATAAGTCTTAGAGCAATCAATGTCAATTCATGCAAATAAGTGGACTAATCCTGCCACTTCCTAATCACTCCATGCTCAGACATCGCATGAACAGATTTTCTAGGACAATTAAAAATATTAAAACTGTTACAGTTTATGAGAACAATTAAAGAAATAAAATGGATAGATTGTTACTTTAGGAAAAATCTGAGGGAGAAAAATATTGCAAACTGTGCTATCCTAAACTACTGATTATTAAGTAATCTTTTGAAAATTTTTTTCTTTTTATTACAAAAAATAAATTAGAATGCCTATAATTCCTAAAATGCTTCCAATTACAGTTACCTATGGGCAGTAAATCAGCAATATTTGGTAAAATAAACTATAAAAGGTTAATATTATGCATTCAATATATTTAATGAAGACTGATCTAGTAAAGGATTTAGTTTCTCCTACTACTTTGATATGTACTATCTGGTCACCATAGATAACGGAATGGAATAGATCAGCTGAATATGGACAGCTAAGCAATAATCTTGTAAACTTTCATGAGAAATAAAAATATTCCAAAAATTATTTGATACAACTAGGAAACTGTGAACTTGTTTTCTAGAGAAAACATGTTTTATAAATGTTGGATATTCTAATTTATTATAACATTGTAATAGATAAAATAATTTCTAATATACAGAAAACTTTTATAATTTTCATATACAAGAAACATCCACAAATTGAAACAAAAAAGAATCAGACATTTGGAGGTCTAGTTGAGTATCTATTCCTTAAAAGTACAGCATTCCTTTTGACACAGTCATGCAGTTTTACAGTGAATAAACCACATCCACCAAATGACTTTCGGTTTGGTTTAATAAAAATTCCAGACAGTTATTAAAAAATCAGTGTAATTGGAAGCATCACGTTCATTTTTCTTCTTTATGCAAAATCCATGAACTCATATTCAGATTAAGCCTTTTCATTTGAATTTCATTAACTCTGCCTTGAATAATTATATCTTTCTGAATTCTGATGTGTACAAATCCTGTCTAACCTTTTGAAAATCAACTTGCTTTTGTTAACGTTCTTTACTACCTTATACCATTATAGATATTCATTCATGCATCATTAATAAGGAAGTGCTATGGCCCCAATAATTCACTTTATTTCTCTCTGTTCATTTTCTTTTCTAACTATATATACCCAATAGAATATACTATTTTCATTTTCTGGAAACATAAATCAAGTAGTATGAAGGAAAGCCCTACAGTACCCATATTTATGTAAAAATGAAAAGTTCAATCAATTTTTAAAAAGGATTATTATAGAACAAAACTATGATTTATATGATCTAAAGTTGAGGTCAAAACAGTCTTGAGCTATGTAAGTAGGCATGGGTATCACTTATAAAGTTTTAAAATAAACTTTAGTTTCTCTGAAACTTTAGTTACCACATTCTTTCATTACTTCAATATTTTTTCTTGAAGGACCACTAACTGCATGAATAAAAGCAATTCTGTTTTGAAACAAATGGTGGATTAAGAAATGTTTTTCTTCATGATTTAAAAGAGTTCTCTCTCCTTCAAATACATTGTGGTTATACTGGCTCATTTGTGAGTTATGAGATCAAAGAAACTCAATAAGAAAAATATGCTATATGCTATATTATTATGACATGTGCCTCAAAATACTATATATCTAATATAAATATGGTACACAGAAAATATATCAATGCATTAAAAGTCTACCAACATAGACTATTATTTACATAAAAAGTAACATACTGATGGAGCCACGTATTTACTTCATTAGTGTTAATGAAGATGAAGATGTGCCAGCTCTTTGAAATAAAGTAAGAATATTTATTAATGACTTAAGGTGAGCCATAATATGAAAATCTATTTATTTATTTATTTTTCCTCAAAAGGTAATTCTTAAATATTACAGATTATTTTAAAGTAATAACACAATGGTATGTAAATCCTAAATATGATTACAGGCTTCAAGTGGTTTCTGATGGATCATAAATGAAATGAAAATGGGAAAGACTTAAGTTATCTTAGACAAATAGCTTTGTCTACTAGATGCAAAGGACTTCAGAGAAAAAACAATTAAATTTCCTTCCAGGGATGATTATCAGAAAAAAAAACAATTAAATTTCCTTCCAGGGATCATTATAGGGGTAAGGAAAGTTGAGCTATTTTTATTTATTCCCCAT